ACAAAAGGTGCTATTGTTGGTCATCTTCCCATTGAGCCTTTGTCCCGCTCTACTAGCTTCTTTTGGGCTAAACACCTCCTGCAGCAAAAGAATACACTCAAAATACTTTGAATTTTAGTGAGAAATGCACATAAAAATGATAAAAAAAAATGCAGATCCACTAATTTCATTGCAGCACAGTGAAACTCGTGGGATTCTCACAGCTGGATTTACGTAGGAATAGAATGAGGAAACATTGCAAAAGTCTGTCAGACACTGTTTATGATAATGACAATCAATCCAGACTTAGGAGCTACTGAGATTAGCAAGCAATCACTGGCAAAAACCTTCATATCATTCTGGCAAGTCATGGAAGGAAGGGTTTAGAGAATTAACCAACAAAAAGAAAAAAAAAAGATTAAAGAAAATATTGACCTCCACATTCACTGGTCAGTATGCGTGGAATTCTACATTCACCTATGAATAGCTTCACCACCATCCCAAATTATTTTTACATCTGTTCATAGGTCTGTCTTCCTCCTATTTGGAAATAACCGGAGGTCAGGAACTACCAATTTCCCTTCCTTACTCAGCATGGAGTGCAGCACCCTGGTGGAGGGGTAGCAGGGATCACTAGCTCTATATGAGCGCTCTCTGGAGTCGCCTTTGCTAAAGTCTTGGCTCCGCTGCTTGCTCATAGAATCACTATGCTGAGTCACCTGGGACTGCAAGCCTTGGTCTCATTTCCGATAAAATGGATTTACAGTGTCTCCTCCTCCACTGCGGTGCCTAAAACCTGTTACAATAGGCAAAGGACTTAGTTCAATGGCTTGCACAGAGCATTCAACAAGTGGCGAGGATTATGATGTCTCCGTAGACTGACACAGATGATGGGTGTGTTGAGCCGTTGTCATAGTTTGTGTTTGTGTCCCCCAGGACTCATGAGTTTGCATTGTTCATATGTGATGGTTCATTGTCTAGTGCTTGGATTGATTGTGTCAGTGCTCCACCCACATAGGGGTGGAGCCAGGGTGTAATGTAATGGCAGGAAGAAGGTGTGTCTTGCTCTTTGCTGGTTCTAGCTCGCTGTGGGCGGCCGCCATGAACTGCAGCCCAGCCATGCCCACCTGCCTGGGAGCCAACTGAGTGTGGACTGAAACCTCCAAAAACTGTAAGAAATAAACCTTTCCTTTCCCAACTTGGGCATCAGGTATTTTGTCTCAGCAAGGATCATAAAGTAACGAAGACAGCTGTGATCGCCGAAAGCATAAAAAGGGAAAGGAGCCGGTGGTGCCCTTCAGGAACCCCTGTCCTCAACCCAGCCCTGAGTGCTGCTGTCTGGGCCATAGCCAGGGTACAGATGAGCTCAGGTGCGGTTCCCTCACATCTGGGCACCACTGCTCTCAGAGAGAGCTGATATGAGGGCAATCATGGTCACCGTGTGGCAGAAGTCTGCCAGATTCCTTTCCCTTTCGGTTTCTTACTTCATCAAACCAAGCTCAACTTTTTTTTTTCTGATTTAAATAGTAACACTTTCACAAAGGAAAGTACACACGAAATCTCTGACTTAAGTATAATTTTTTAATGTCATTCTAAACTGTATGATTTGGTTCACACAGTCTCCTTGTCTGGACAAATAGAAATCAGGCAAGAACAAAGGAGGTAGAAAAGAGGATGGCAGGAAATCTTAGGTCACTCATTAAAACTTTAAAAATCTCACAGCACTGATATTTACGGTAAAAAGATTTAAAGCAAGAATAAAGCAAAGACTTGCAAGATTAAGTGCAAAAGCGACCATAAACTATAGCTCTGCTAATGGAACAGCTATACTGACCCTAAATAAGAGGACAGTAACAGAGGCAGTAAGCTTAACCTCTGCAACACCTGAATACAGGGCATTCTGGGAAGGTGGAATAAGAAAGGCAGCACCTGGAGGACAGTGTTTCCTGGGGAGCGATGCCAGTGTCCACTGCCCAGTGTGACCAACGGTGGTGAGCCGGGTTGCCACGCAGCGCCCACGCATCCTCCACCACCCACTACAATACCGAGTATCTGACCCCTGGCCGCAGAGGAGAGCCAGGGAAACCTCTCACGAGGGGAAAAGGTAACAGCCAATATCTCTGAATTACTAGTAAGCCTCCATGGTCAATGACTTGCAAGTAGACTGTGTAAATAAAAGGTAGTGTTGAGTAATTTTCACTGATAAGCATCATTCCATGTACAACCAAGTACTAAATATGTAAAGCTGGAATGTTTATAAAACTTTCAAAGAATGAATAAAAGTTGGATTACTGAATATTCAGTTGAAGGCACCGAAACAAGAGCTGGTACCTCAGGGCAGGCCAGACGCACACAGGAGGAGCCCGAACGCCGGGGTGAATGCGGTACAGGAACTGGGAGTGGGGGACAGGGAGAGCACTGTGAGGTGACTCTGGTGTGATGGCACACCGTGTGGTCATCCCTGCCGTGAGCAGGGAGTCAGGGAGAGCCGGGACAGGCAAAGTTTGCAACTTAAAAAGTGTGACATGAAAACCAAGAATTAGAATCACAGAAATTGTTTCCTACTATTAGACCTGAACAATGGCTTTTGAGGAATTCAATAAAAGAGCTACAAGGGTGAGGCCTCAGGGTGCTCTAAAGTGAGACAGCTCCCTCACAGCAGGACAGGTGACCAGAAAAGATGTGGAGACTGGACAATACCACAGAGGCCAGAGAAGCCCGAAGTGTAACAGAGGAAGCCTAGAGGGAACGGCAGAAGAGACCTCTGCTTCCCACACAACAAGTCCTGGCTAGGGACGCCACCAACTCAGAGGGCCAGCAGGCCTTTCCCAGAGTCTCCCGTCCTCCGAGGGGGCGACTCCTGACAAGGGCTGTAATCACGTCGGGTACTCTTCTTCAAGACAGGCTAACGGCACTGACACTCATATCTATATAAAAATAGCCAGTCTATACAAATAACAAAAAAAAATCACTGACACTTTCACACTAATAATCTCACTCGTCCCAAATAGTAACACTATTACACCTGAAGGTAGGCAATTTCCCCAATGAAACTGAATATAAAAATGTGGAAGAGATAGGCCACGGAATGCTCCTCCTCTGCAGAGATGTCCGAAACCTAACCCAGGAGCACACCAACTTACCTGCTTACAGAAGTGTCGGAGACCGGGTTTGAGACAGGGAGACTATCCTCACTTATCCTGCCGGGTGCCATGTACTCCAGAAATTCCTCAGAAGAGGAGGCACAAATGTAGAGAGAGGGTGACTAGACCCAGAGGAAAGCAGAGGGGGGGGGGGCAAGGGACGTGTAGTCAGGAGCGTCTGGAGCCCAAGACAAGCAAGCAACAGACCCCAGGACACTTTCACTTCCATTTTCAGGAAGACTGATGTGGGTTTCGCCTTCTATGACATAATAAATCTATGTCATTTTAAGCCAGTGAATCTGGTAATTTGTCCTAGCAGCCATAGGAAACTAACACGTATCTTTGTGCTGCCTGTTGCCTAAGCATGTGGAAGTGGTCAATGCGTAGGGAATTTTGAACACGGTAATACAGAGATGCTAGCTGCCTAGAACATTATGGATATAGATGCTAGAAACTCCAAGGCTTCAAGGAGGAAGCAAGGATATGCCATAAAAAATCTAATTCATCATAAACAAACCGATGGTAGAAATATGGGTGTTAAAAGCCCTGCTCAGGAAAGCTTTAAAGGAATGAGGACCACAATGGAAACTGGGGAGAAGGTCTGTGTCACATGATACAGAGTTGTTAGAAATTGTGTGAGAATTTTAACCCAACACAGTGAACCCCAAACAGGACAGCAGACCGAAAATTACAGCCAGGTTAATTAAGTTCCTGAAAATGAAAGTATGGTTAGAAAGCTGCAAGACAATCTGGCAACAAGAAACCTGCACTTCTGGAAAACATTCCTAAAAACTAAGGGGGAAACTCCTTCATTTCCACACAAACAAGGATGGAGCATGCATCTTGCACTATAGCAAAATTTCTTTAGACCGAAGGGACAGAATAAAACAATTGTGCAAGAAACTACAAAGACTGTAAAGATTAGACAGGCACAAAGCACTCCTCCAGCAAGGGATCACTATCGGCAGGGAAACACCAAGAGAAACAGGGAGCAATCTACTTTTCATTTTTTAAAAAGATAACTGAATATCGAAAGCAAATATTGCGATATATTATAGAATTATAGGGGAAAATAAAATATAGTAATACAAAGAATAGGAGAGGCAAATAGAATTATACTAATATAAGGCTGTTAAATATTTCACAGAATTGCATACGATATTTTTCATGATGATGTGTGATAATGAATTATGCATATTATAATCTAGGGGGTAAGATTAACTATGCATATTATAATCGAGGGCAGCCACTTAAAACTCTTCTAAAGTGAAACTAAACAGCAATGGAGGAAATAGAATGGAAGAGAAAAACAAAAACAATAAATCTCACTTTCAAAACAATAGAACAAAAAATAGATGGTAAAATCAGGGAATAAATAAAAGATGTCAGCATTACTCCCAATCATATAGATAATTATACTAACTGAAAGTGAATGTAACACTAATTAGAAAATAGAGATCTTAAATCTTCGTTAAAAAACACAGATCCAAGACTATGCTTTTTATCCACGATCTATTTTTCTCAAAAAGATACTGAAAGTAAATTGATTTTAAAAAGGTATTTATTACTTTGCAAACACTAATCATAAGCCAGTATGTTTATACTGTTTTCAGAAAAGATAAACTTTAAGAGAAAAATATCACCAGTTATCGAGATGAGTTTCCACTTAACAAAGCCCAGGCTCGGTTCTCTGCTTCTCCTAAGTGCTGAATCTCTCCTGCATGCCACTTCTGAGGGTTTATGAACCTCCATGTAAAAGCTTCTTTTCAGTTTACATTATTTTAAAATTCAATGATTTTTGAGTATGCTATGCGGTCCTCTAAGTCTTTGATGGCCACTTTCTATGATTATCTATTAATTCGTGGAAAGTCATCCTACCTGAAACTTCACCTTCTGATTAATGTCCGACAGGCGGAACTGTTTCAGGAAGCGGTCGTCTTCACTCCAGAAGAGGCGGATGTCCGGGATGTCATAAAGTATCATGGCCAGTCTCTCTAACCCTAGGCCAAAGGCCCAGCCAATTCGATCCTGTGCTCCAGCTACAAACAGAAAACAAAACAATTGTGAGGCAAATGATAATGACTGTAAGGACGAGATGGGTGCAAACCACTCCAAGGTGAGCACCAGGGCCACCGAGGGCCTAGGGCAGCGATGCCCAGGGCAGCACTCTGAGGGTGTCCACATACTCTTTCTCTGAGCCTCTGCTTTTCTTTCTTTTTGGATTCTTTTTTTTACCCTGATTAAAAATATTTGTCCTACTTTGTGTAGGTAGCCAAGACAAAGGAAAGGCAAGCTCTGTGCCTGGGCAGCTTGCTGGGTAGGGACCTATGCTCATAAAGGGCCACAGTGGACTGTTAAAATACAGGAAGCTTGTGTCTGCCTTTAAGGAGCTCAACTTTATTAAACCAATATAATGATCTCTCTTGATAAGAGATTTCTCAAGTAAAAACAATGTGTATAAAGGTACATAGGAGTGTAATTGTTGTTTCATGTCTCAGGCTTTTCCTTCATCATTAAATCTTACACATGTTTTTATGAAGTATAAAACCCATTATACAGGAACAAATATGTGTTGCCAGCCAGATTTAGGGTATTTGATTTTATTTAATGTTTGCTCATTTTTATTTTGTTCTTTCATCCATCACCTCATTTTCCCACTCCACAAAACATTTTCTGAGGCAAAAATGAAAGAAAGAGACTCTAAAAGTAGGTGAGAAAAAGAGCAATAACTTAATCTTTAAAATAGGCAAAAAAGAGCCACATATAAGGAAAGAAAAATGGTCGCTAAGCAAATGAAAAGCTTACTTAAGAAAAATGCAAAACAAATCAGGTTACCATCTTTTATTTACCAGAATGGCAAAAATAAAAACATCTGATCGCACACTTGGTTGCGAAGCGGAGGGGAAGCAAACATTCTCACACTGCTGCAAGCGTGCACGTGAGCTCCGAACCTTTTGACAAACTAAGGAATATGACAGTGCATATCCAAAATTAGAAATGCGTTCACCATCTGCTCCTTAAACTTTTAGAAAGTATCCTACTCATGGAAAATTAGAAATTTTGTTCTTCCTTGCAAATATTTCCCATCAGGATAATGCTAACTAAACTGCTGCCTCATGTTCTGGTTTTCTGGATACAAATGATGTTAATAAAACTAGGTTAAGTTTCAAATAGGAGAAATCAGGAGTTCCAAGGTGAAAATAAGATGAATCTACTATATTGCAGTACCATTTATGCCACAACATCCATTCCTCTCCTAAAACCCATGCCACCCAATATTATTCACAACATTGCTCCTCTTAGAAACAAGAGTCCTAATCCCAGGGTACCGGATACGTGAAATGAGGAAATACATATGCAGTAAAGCATCAATATGCAAATAAGCCAGGCATGGTGGCTTTTGTCTGTAATCCAGCCCTTGGGAGGGATCGATGAGAGTTCAAGGCCAGCCTGGACTCTAAAGTGAGTTTAAGAACAGCCAGAACTACATAGTGAAACCCTGTCTCAAAATGACAAAACAAAAAAAGGGAACACTCTCAATAGTTTTGTTCATAAAAGCCTCAATGCAGAAACAACTCTACTTCTGTTAACTAGTGGATGAGAGAAACTGGTGTATCCATGTAATGGAATATTACCTAACAATAAAAACACATGACTAGTATATACAATAACACAGATAAATTGCCAAAAGCATTATGCTTAGTGAGAGGAAACATTCTGGTAACAAAGGATATCCAATATTACTTTACTTACACAATATTCTAGAAAATGTGAAACTATGAAACAGATAACAAATCAGTGGTTAGGGTGGGCACGGAAAGAGGGATGTTTTGAGATGATGGGAATTTTCTAATGCTTGGCTACAGGGTAGTTATATGTTCCTGTATCCCGCAAAACTCACGTAGCTCTTCTTTAAACTTGTGAATTTGCTGTGCATAAATGCTGCTTCCATAGACTGATCCATGGAAACCCCTCACTCAGATACTAAGTCAACTGTTCAGTGCTTACTGTCAACTTCTATGGTTGTTTCATCATGAACTGAAAACAAATAGCTGCGGATCCGCACCTTTCTGAGGACGCTGTGAGTGGCAGGGATACAAATGACACGGAATGTGCTTACAACGTGAAGCATTCAAACTAAAGAAATTTCACTGCAAACTCTGAGAGACTCTGAGAGTTTAGATGTGGGGGCCTGGGAGTCTGCAGACCACAGGCTGAGAATCTTGAGCCTAGAGAACAAACATAACCCGCAACACAGTACCAACCCCTCTCGGCCTGTTCACCTTGGATTATTCCTGGTCCTTGGAACATAATATATGCTTGATGTGTTTTATCTTTCTTTCTTTCTTTCTTTTTTTTTTTTTTTTGGTCTTTTTCTTTTTTATCAGTACCAGGGATCAAACTCACGACCACACACTTGCAAGGCAGGCGCTTATGCTGCTGAGCTAAATCCCCAGCCCTTTGTTTTATCTTTCTTCACAATCCATCATCCTGCTTCCTAAAGCCCATTCTTGTCTGTCTTCCCATCATGCTGTAAAGCTTGATAAAAATATTCCCACTGTGAGCTTCCTCCTCTGGCCGCCAAGGATGGATTAGGCTCATCTTCATCTTTCTCCTCGCAAACACACTGCGCTCACTGGAGTAGCAGCTCCCACCACTCTCCCACCTAACCTGAGAGTTCTTAGAAGCAGTCCCAATGCAGTGCCAGGCACTTGCTAACTGCATGGTAAAAGCTCCTCACAGGCCTCACCTTGAGAAGAAGAGATGCCTCCCGCGAATTTTGTGACTCAGTCTCAAGCACAGAGCTGAGGATCATGACGTTAAGAACAAAGCGGGGAGCCCAAGTTCGGAAGAGCAGTTTGAACAATGTTTCATGCGTAGGGCTTCAGAAGCTAAAGTGAAAAAGGAGCTAAAAGATACTTATTTCTTGCTGGATATCTCATATCAATTTCACTGGTAGGAAATGCAAGGGGCTGATCACAAAAACTTAACCGCAATACAATTAAAAGGAAAATACTTAAAAATTAAGTCTAAGGTCTGCAGATATAGCTCAGTGGCACAGAGCCTGCCTGGCAAGTGCGAGGTTGTGAGTTCAGTTCCCAGGACCAAATACAGAAATAAAGAAATAAAAAAATTAAGTCTAAATACAACAGAAGAAATGCTAGGAAAAAGGTAATTAAAAAGGTGAGTTTAACTCAGTAATCCAAAGTTGTGTGTGTGTGTGTGTGTGTGTGTGTGTGTGTGTGTGAGTGAAACCAGTCCAATTCTGGCATCACCCACCCAGCTGAGCCGGGAGCTATGAGGCACAGTGGCATCAGGAGCCAGACAAGTGCTGTCCTCCAGAAGCCAGCCGCACACAGGGCCACCACAGCTTCTCTAGAGCTGGCTGTGTGGGGTCGGCTTCCTTCTGCGCCTAAAGGAGACTGCTTTAACAACCAGGGCCAGGCACCACAGAGAAGCCTCAGCAACTGGGGATTGCGTCTGCTACTGGGGACCATGCCTGCAGCTGGGGACCGAGCCTGCAGCAAGTCTCAAAGAGAGGAAGGCCAAGCTGAGAGAAGGTTCACGCCAGGAACCATGCCTGGGATTCGATTTTAATTTCTTGCATGTGGATAGCTACAATGACTTAATGTCAGTTAGTCTCAAATTAAAGTCATTATTCAGATTGGCTGAAAATCAACAATTCAACAACAAAAAGCCCCCTAGTTACCTGCACATACAATTTCCAATTACTTTTCTCAGGAGGGAAAGGGACCAAGAGATGGAGGGAAAGGAAAGGAGGGTAGGAAGGGAGTCTAACGAGAATTAAAATGTGTTATCTACATGCACCAACTCCTCAGTGAATGTCATCAGTATGCACTGCAAACATATATTAACAAAATTCAAATTAAAAAGAAGGCTCAGTAGGAAGCTATCCTGCTGAAAGTGAGACACTCTCGGTGTGTTTTACTGGAAAAGTCCAGTGGTTTCCATTCATACCTGGCAGGACCACTCGGAAATACTTAAGGTGGTAGCAGGAGTATGCAGAGCTCAGGCCGCGGGCTCAGCTGGGCCTAGCAGGGATCAGCTGAGTCGCTCTTCTGCAGAAAGAATCTTGGCCCTACTGCGAGGGCCGGTGCTAAAGTGAAGGAGGAGTCCAGCCCTTCAAGCCTTAAAATCCCACCCACCTGCAAAGCACCAGACCTTCATTCAGAACAGGGAGCACCTGGGGGTGAGCGTTCTGCCACAGCCACTGCCACCGCGGACACCTTTTATTCCCACAAAGCTGTCTTAGTTACTCTTACTCGTTGCTGAGACAAAATACCTGATGTGCAAAGTAGGAAAGGAAAGGTTTATTTCTTAGGGTTTTTTTGGAGGCTTCAGTCCATACTCAGTTGGCTCTAAGTCAGGGTGGCATGGTGGGACACAGTTCATGGCAGCTGCAAACAGCAAGGCGGAAACTGGCAAGAGAGAGACACGCCTTCTTCCTGCCATTACACTGTATGCTGGCTTCACTCCTAGGTGGGTGTAGCACTGGCACCATCACTCCAAGCGCTAGACAATGAACCAATCACAAATGCGTAATGCAAACACATGAGGCCTGGGGGCCACCAAGATAAACCATGACATAGGCTGGCCAAAAAGATGGCTTATGGTAATCAATCAATAACAATGGAGGATTCCAAGAAAGGGCATGGCAGAGATCCTGGACTTTTACCGGATTTCACCTTTGAAACATTTTGTATTGGTCCCATGGAGACCTGCCTGTCTGACGCACACTCCTGCACTGTGCCCCTGGGTCCACCAACCTGGGCACATCACCAACTTGAGAAAGGGCTAAGCATGGCCAGGTAATGAGCGTGAAACAGGCACGCGGATCGGCCGCACAGAAACAGCCTCCCACCCAGGCAAGTGGCCCTGCGTGCCTTCCTCCAGGTGCACAGGGATTGCGAGGCACAGAAACAAGGGTGCTTTCCACCACTCTGCTTTTGCCAGGCATCCTTCAGGAGGAGAGTACCTGAGGGAAAAGAATAAAATTTCAAAGAGTGCTTTATTTTTA